AAGTTTCCTGATTGAATTTTTTTCCTTATAGTTGCATGATTTTCAATTGATTTTATATTTAGTAGTGGTTCCCAGCAATCCTAAGACAATAGACAATTTACCGGGAAGTTACATGGCTACAGGAATCCTCAGGCCAGGGGACTGTGGCAGTGGAACAGCTCTGATCCAGAAGGTAACCCGATCACCAGACGAAGGCAGACGAGTCGGACTTTTCAGAGGGCAAGGTCAGTGACTGGGTTGGTCAAGGCTCCTGAGAGTGTGAGTGACAGACCCCTGCTCCAACACATAGGTAAAATGCTATGTGTTGCCTTGGGTGTCCAGGGTGGCTAAAGGGGGATGGATCAGCAGTGGGTCCACACACAGAAACAAGGTGGTCAGGAATCACACTCACAATCTCCATTTCCAACTTGGTTTTTCTCTGGAGGAAAGAAAAAAAAATTTTTTTTTTTAATTTTAGTTTTTACCCCACCCCAGCCCCTCAGGTTTTTTAGTAGGTTTCCTTTAACAGTTGGCGGGGAAATAGCTGTTGGCTGTTCCAGACCACATGCTCTGGCGCAGAAATCCTAGAGGGAAAAGAATCTCTCCTAGCATGTAAATAAATCGACCCCTAGAAGGATCCTCATTGACCCTGATCTTGTCACATGCCCTCCTCTGCCATAATGATTTTTTATGGGAATAGGGTACTATGATTGGCTAGAATAGATCACATTTGCAGACTTGTGATGGCGTGTGGTTGTTCAACAGAAAGAGCCGCTGCAGCCAAGGACTGGCTGAGAGCAGTGGCAAGGGCTTCCCAAGGGCTTACTAAGAAAATGTACTTACTAGACCTCTGTTCTGTGCGAGGCAGCAAACAATCATCCAAATGCCTGCTCTGCAGTGTACATTCTATTAAAACAATCTTCATCAAGGTTAAAAAGCATAGCAAGATGCGGTGCTGCATGCAGTAATCCCAGCAATTTGGGAGGCTGAGGCAGAAGGATTGCAAGTTCAAGGCTAACCTCAGAAACTTAGTGAGGCCCTAAGCAATTTAGTGAGATCCTGTGTCAAAATAAAAAGGGCGAGGGATGACATGGGGGCTTGATGGCACGTGCCCATAATCTCAGCAACTCCCAAGGCTGAGGCAGGAGGATCTCCAGTTCAAAGCCAGCCTCAGTAACTTAGTGAGGCTCTAAGCAACTTAGGGAGACCCTGTTTCAAAATAAAAAATAAGGGCTGGGGATATAGCTCAGTGGTACAGCATCCCTGGGTTCAATCCCTAGTACTTCAAACAGAAAAAAAAAAAAAGTACTTCCACATCTGGTTTTATGTCAACACCAGATTAGGTACAGGGTACCTCTCAGGAGATCCTCTTCATCCCTAGACAATG